GAATGCAGCAGTCATGAAAAATAGGGCACTGTGAAATTACAATAGGTATGATGTTGTGAGAGGAATATGGAAAGGGGTCATGGTTCTTGGGCTGACGTTCGGCAATGCGGTCTTGTGCATGAGATCAGAAGTTCAAGCAAGATTAGAAATTAAGCAACGTGGAATAGGTAGGCTTGCTTTAGGAGCTCACGGGAATACACCAAATCAGGGAGTACAAGGTGATATGGGATGGACATCATTTGAGGGCAGGGAAGCTAGCAGCAAGATAAAATTGGAGATGCGATTGAGAGAAATGGGGGAAGAGCGTTGGGCTAGGAAGGTTTTCAGCTACTTGTACATGAAGAATGTCGATACAAAATGGAGGAAGCGAACCAGGAAGTTGACTGGTAAATACTTAGAAAACAGCATGTGGCCAAACTAAAAAGAACTATCGGTTAAGAAGAAAGTGAAGGAAACGGAGACTGACATGTGGAGAATGGGCATGATTAAGAAGTCCGCACTAGAGATCTATCGAACTTTTAAGCAGGAAATTGCCAAGGAAAGGATCTATGATAATACTCGGGGTAGTTCTCTACTGTTTGAGGCCAGGACGGGAGTACTGTGAACCAAGACATATCGGGCCAAATACGAAGGGGTAGACACAGTATGCAGTGCGTGTGGAGAGGAAGAAAAAACTGCCGAACACTTGATAATGTTCTGTAAAGGGCTTCACCCTATAGTTCAGGATGATGGCGCAGAGTTTTTCAAAGCACTGGGATTTAGGGACAGCGAGGGCAAAATAGACTTTAAGCGGGTAGACTTAACTAGAAGGAGGTTATCTGATTGGTGGCTAAAGTCAAGGCACAAGTCAAAATTAAATCCTTCACTGCGAAGTACGAATCCTCAACTTCATTATTTAAAAGAAAAAAAAGATAAATGTAATGGTTAGTTCACTAAGTATTACGGCTAGGTGGCGTTAGCCGCCGCCCGATCTAAAGGGTACAGCCACATCCATCCATCCATCTTTCACACTTTCAAAGCCGTGCATTCGAAGAAAAAAAACGAAAAAAAGTCCTCAAGGCCACGAGGCGTGCGTTACGTTCTTCTGTGACCCTGCCCTCCCTCACTACTTAGCTTGCAGCGCTTTCGATGGGACGAAAGGAGAAAGCATGCAATTGCAGCATGCGACAAATACTTGTAACTCCACTCGCACTGGACGGCTTCTTAAAATTTTTGCGGCATTGAAATCGTGAGGCAATAAGCTCTTCCAGTGAATTCATTCCATGGTTATTCGAAAAAGTGTTTCAGGACCCATTAACTCACCGTCGTCTTATCCGCTCCGTCTATCAGCTCTGCGCGAAAGCAGCCGCGAGCTGAGAAACACGCGCTACCGAACAGTGGTGACTTTGGTGGCCCGTCACCTCGGCGCACTACGCAACAGTGGCGGCAGCGATGCGCTTTGTAACAACGTGGTTATCTTTGAGCTTCCTCTACAACCCATGTCATATTCACATTCATACTTAGTATTACCAAAACCGCACGTGTATATTATATAGGTACATTCGAATACGGAAGCCTTCAAATAGCTTCCAACACGAGTTGGAATCCGACCGACACAATCCGACCGTGCACGACTCAAGATATAGTTTTTTCACCCTCCGTAAATGACACTAACGTCACATTTCGCATTGCCTGGCGGGAGCATGTCATTGCAAATTCGAAACGTTTTGCAGGATATGAACGCAGCGCACCATACATAACGCCATTGTCACGCAGAGACAGCGAGGCGAGCAGCGCTGAAACAGCAAGACAGCACACTCGAAATTGGCATGCTCATTTTGCACGATCGTGTTCATCACCTACTCACTGAGCATTGCTAGAAATTTAAGCGGTTGAGCCGTTATTTATACTCTATCCTTCGCGTCTAACCCACTACGGTAGTCTACTGGCTGGCACTCGGCTGCTGACCCGCAGATTGCAGGATCAAATCCCGTCCGCGGCAGCCGCGTTTTTGGAGACGAAAATTCTTTAGGCCCGTGTGCCTAGATATAGGTGCAAGTTGAAGAACCCCAGGAGGTCGAAATATCCACAGATCTCCCTACGGCGTCTCTTATAATCATATGGGCGTGAAGTCCCACCTATTATTTCCTTCAATTCTAGACAAAGTACAATACTTTCAAATGACAGACCCTAACCCCTAGTAGCTAGCGCGGACACTTTCACAGCCTCGAGAGCAGTGGACAAACTGACCGCCTTGTTTGCAAAGGTTTTGTTTGAACGTGAAATTTATAAACAACGATTACTGAAGTTTACCGTGCTAAAAGCACCATTTGATCACGAGAGACGCCGTATAGTGGACGCTCCGGAAACTTCAACCACTTTTTTTTTTACATGCACATAAGTCTAAAACACACGGGCCTCAGGCATTTACGCATTCATCGAAGATGCGGCCACTGCAGCGTCGGATTCAATCCAAACACCATAACTACTGGACCAACGAGGCAGGCTATAAAGTGTTAGTAGAGCCAGATCGCATGTTATTTGCAACACACTTCTCGGATAACGCATCACACCTGAAATTTTTAGATAAATGTGCGCAAATTGAACCCCTACTTTCTGTGCTCAGCACTAGCAGTAAATTCCTTCAAGCAGTTTCTTACATGCTGCTCTAGCTTAGGCTCGCTGGACGTAACCGTCCCGACTGTGCTGCGCATTCTGCGCAGGCCTGGTGTAAAGTCATTTCCTTCATGCTGCTTAAAACATGTTGATAGAACTCACCTTTTTGTTCCATCTCCTTTTATTTTTATTTTTTTTTTGCGTTTGCTTTCCTTGGACTCCTCTATCCACATTCTGCAATGGGGTGTGGTCATGCTGAATTGGGCCGATCCGGAAGGCGTTGGAGTCACTTTTCAAGTGTCGCAGCGTTTTGTTCGCAGATCAAGCACACTCGTCAGCACAAGCTAATGTTGACTATGTAATGTAGCAAAACAGCCTTTTGGGCTAGTCGGTAACGGTTCTGTGTGATTACAAAAAGTGGGGCGGATTACAGAACAGAGCCTGTATTCCCATTTTTTTTTTCTCATCTCTTCGGTACTGCACCCCACTTTTTGCATTTACAATAATGTTGACTAACCATAGTTTACGTCGCTAAATAATTATAAGTGTTGACTACCATGTCACAACAGCATTACTGTTTTTATTCATTCTCAAGCCGGTGCCTGGGTTTTATATCAAGTGCATTTAAAGCGAAGCTTTTATTGCAAGCATTTCCTAGCTTCCTTGACCGTACTTCCCTCTGTAACTGTAGCTTCCTTGGCTGGCCGCTACTACCCCAGTGAATAGCTCACAGAGAGAATTGCGTGCCCCATGGAGCCACCGAACATCGAACCACAAGCACAGCCGTCCAATGCTGTAATCATGACGTAACACATTCGCACGAGTACTCAAAATCGTGCCAAAGGCCGCTAAACATAGTTACACGAGATAGTGGGCACATGCGTCGCGTTCTGAAGTTCGGGCGATCGACAACGCATGCTCGCGCAGCCAGACATTTTTAGACGAAATACCCCGAAATGCATTCTTAGAGCTGTCGTCAACACGTTCCCAGTGACATGGATAGGGAAAACACAGCTACAAGTTTCATAACGCATATACGCCAAAATAGTAGGACGGATATTAAGTACAACAGAAGTAACGGAACGTGTTCGCTGCCAAAATTAGCTCAGCATCATTCTCAACTTCGGTGCTGCAGTGTGACGAGCTCCTTCAAAGCACAGCACATATGGTGGATGACAATAGCGTTCGTCGTATCAAGTAACGCGTATCAAGTACCACCAATAGCGCGTATCAAGTAACGCACCCCTTCGTCTTAATGCGTTGCGAATGCTTGGCTGCTGCTAGCAGTTGTGGGTAGTAGCGAAACGCTCAAATTAGGGTGCCTGCATGACGTGTTTAGCGTGGTCAGAAAACGCTGCCGATCGGTAGTCGTGGCTCTTGAGAAGATGCGAGCCAAACAGCGCAGTACGCGGCTTGGTATTTAATATTCATTCTGGAACTATGCTAGCTACAAATGATGCCACATACAGAAGTTTCATGCCATTGGCAGATATGAGCATTGTGAGCTGCATAGTTGCCGCGACTGCCACGTGAGGCCGCCATGTGCCTGCGCGTGCGCTCGCGATCACACTGACGGTCATGAAGCACGCGTGGCGCACCTTCTTTCTCCCGTGCCCACCCCGCTAGCTTCTAGCGCGCTTGTCTCGACGATAAAAGGCAATCACAGCGTTTGAGAAATCTAATTTCGCTCGTACTCGAGATATTTGAACAAATTTAGCGGCCATACATTCGTGAGGCAATGAATTCTTTTACTGAAGCAATTCGATGGTTACATGTAAAACTATTGCAGGGCACCTTTAAGGAGAACACTAGAAGCTGGCAAGTGATGTAGGCGACGTATTAGTGCACGGATTAAATTATCCGTTATCAGGCACAGTGTGCTGCGTATTGTAATGCATGTCGTGTTATTTCACATACACTCATTCGCAAGCATGATGCTGCACAATTATCCAGTGTGTTACTTTGCTTAAGAAGCATTTGCTCTAATTCTTTCTTTTTTCCTTTACACCTTTTCACTTTATTTGCTGTAACTATTGCACAATGTTTGTAACTATTGCTTATATGCCCTGTTGTTTTTAATATTATATGCACGTTTTTTGTCCTATCATCCCTCTTAGGCCATGAAATACAATCTTGTAACGCGTCTGGTTTGTTTTGCTGTCTGCCAGGCTCTGCCACTCAAGCCACCAGTTGGCTTTGGCAGGCCTAGTCACATGTACTGTTTTATTTGAAGAAATAAAAGGTATTATTATCATTATTATTATATTATTATTATTATTATTCAAGTACATGTGGAGTTGTTACATATTGTATACTGAGGAACACACGTCTCACTAAATATTCGATCGAGTTCAGGTTTCCAGCACTGCTGCTCAAGCATGCAATAAAAACAGGCACCACAAAAATTCGTGACTGGAAAAAATTAATAGCTTTATTTCTACTAAGTATCCCCTCATTCAACACAAAGCATGATGGAGCGCCGGTGGGCACTCGCCAGGGTAAAAAGTGTATTCCGTTTCTTCCGCCACTCCCAATTGACGGGCGACGGTGCACGCATCAAACCAATTACGTGCAGCTGCCATTTCGAGAGCGCCACATATCACGCTCGAAAAAACAGCTGCAAGGTACAAAACACGAACACACCTCAGCAAGGCACACTGACTGCCAGTAATGCATGGCAGGAGTAATTTTCACAGTGAGATTGCACTTTGAACACCGTGTAAATAAACAGTGACTAAAAACGTGGAGGCACCCCGAAATTCAAAGCTGCCCATACAAATCATCGAAAGAGGCCACATATATAATTAAGTTGATATGCTCATTCTTTATCACCACCACAAAAGCTGTCGACGCAAAGATGGCATCCTGCCGTAAAATGCGCGCTACAGCACACAGTGGGGGAGTCTCGAGGTCTATGTGGTGCACAATAAAGGCGTCCGTAACGATGTGTGACTGTTGCAGAATTTACGTCCCATCAACACCATCAGCTGCCTTAAAAATTGCAGCCTGGGAGAAATCCACTAAACATTAAAAGAAAATAAAAAAGTCTGGTCCCTAAAAAAATTGCACACAAGTGCCAACCTGGGCAGAACTTGTACTTTTCGAGTGGCAGGACAAGTAAGGCGAAGTGTAGCACAGATTTTTTAAGTGGATGGTGAGCACACTGTATCGCGATTACAAAAAAGAAATATATCTAGTTGGTAACTAGCAACATGTTGTGGCTGCAGGGGATACTCACCTACTCACTGTGTTTCAAGGTAATTATAAAGCAGATGCAAGTACTCTCTTCCCATTATGACGAGAATATAAACACTTTTTCAAGTAGACCAATATCGCTATTTTCGCAATGTTCTTATGAACTGTGTGCACGTAACATGTAATGGAAACAATCTATGGGGCATCTACGAAGCGTGCGGCGGTGTAGAAGAAAACGGCAAGGAAGAACCAAGTCAGTTTAGCCATAGAACTAAGAGGGGAAGCGATGTTCGCAAACCACTTCGCACACAGCAATCGACTACAACAGCAGCAGCCCCACTGGACGTACTCATGAATGCACTGGCATTTCAATTCTTAGATGTAACTGCGGTAGCCTTGAAGAGCAGCGCTGTTTGGTCCCGTCCGGTTGAACAGCTCCAATGCCCAATGTGTTCAATTTCCGTTTACCAGTGGAGGCGCACCATTAGCTCTCTCTCTCTTTCTTATTCTGGCCCTACTTAACTACGGCCTGTTGCCTTTCTACTAGGCTCAAGCGAGTTCGAAACCTGCATACAAAGGTACGTAATCACAAATGGTTTCGTCCGTGAAAGCCATTGGTCAGATGCTGTCACTGCAATATCTCCAATGAAGATAGGATGGCCCTTATCTTGCCAACAGTTCTAAAATAACTTCTCTGCAAATAGAGCCAAAAAAAATGCTGCCTTCAAACGACAAGCTGAAATGAACATCACTCGTGCACACCAATTGAATGCCAACATAATCTATTTTGAGAAGCAGTAGGCATCTTCTAAAGATGTAAGACAACGAGATAGCACAGAAACTAAGATTTACACGTAGAAACGACACTTCGCATTTTCCAGTATGTTCGATAGTGGAATGCAAACTTTACGAGCGAAGTTACCTCAGCCGTGACTAAAACGCAAATGACTATGCATTGTGTCCAATGAACTTTCTTTTCTTTGCGCAAAAGACACACGAGGGGAAAAAAAAAAGTATCCCTACAAGTCAATTTTCCGAAAAGGCGCGACATGCATTTACCTCGGTCTATTGAAAACATCGCAACAATGGCCACCTTCCGTTTAGGTGAAAAACTGAACTCGCCTTCATACCACAGAAATGTAATCTTGTATCAGCACACTTGTACGAGGCTAGGAGTACAGCTTTTCGCTCGTGGCAGATTCATTAAAAAAGTGCAACCGATGATACAATACTTTGTAGCAGCCTCACTACCCGCTTTTACGTAAGAGGCACAGCTAAATCTCCCCCTGTGTACATGGAAACTTAGCTAGAACAGGGGACACATGGCAAAAAAATTTCTTAACTACACACCACACACTATCATACATATATACAGGCAAAGTGCTCCACGCATGTAGTTAAGGCATATCGTAACCACAACCGCAATCAAGCGAGTGGCTGGCGACATCCCCGCGACAAACGCAATAAATTCTCAGAGGCAAATAAACATCACATGTGATATTGCAATGTCGGCACTGAATGCCTACACTCGGAGGCCTAATTTTGAGTCTTTCCAACAAAAGTTCGGTGCTTCGGATCCAGTGTCACTTTGGAGCTGCTGCTAGCAGGAGAAAGATAGTTCATGTTAAGGGTGCTCCGGCTCGACCTGCGTGTGTTGGAGGAAGGATTTCGCGTCGGCTTCAAAGGAATGGAGAGATCCAGAGAGTCCTCAAAATCCAGAGGCTTGTTCACGCACTGCCTCTCGTTTGCAGAAAGCGGATCAAACTCATTACAGATCATCTCAATGTTGGACTGTGGGCCGGATTTGAGCTCTTCTTCATGGTCGTCCTCGAGATTCATCAGACGCACAGCGTCGCTGGGCATCACAGCAGCACCCACGCGGCGGTCTTGCCAGTAAGGCGCAAACGTCTTCCGAGACTGTTCAGCAAACACTGTTGGCTTGTGGTGTCTGGGATCGACCAGCTCGTACGCCATACCTTCGTTGCTGAAACCAACCTCTTCCAATGAGTTTTCCGCAAGCGAATTGCGTCTGAATTCCGTAGCGTAGGCTCCTCGGCGAGGAAGCAACGGAGCGTTTCGAACTTGATTCAATAGCATAGGAGGCAAGCTCTGGGTTTTGCAGTCGGTGTCACTGTAGGAAATGTTCTGGCAAGGACGCGGAAGCATCTGGTCAGCAGGGCGCAGAAAACGAGTACCGACAGGCAGCATGCCTTCATCTCCTCGGTAGTCCCTCTGGTGTTCCACATTGTCTAGAGCCCACACAGTCATTTCCAGTTCCTTGTACTTGGCCTGCATAATTTCCATATCCCTCCGATTCCGTCTAAAACGCTCTAGACATTCCTCTTTTTCCTGGATCAGTTCTTGGATGTCCGATCGTAGAGAGGCCTCCGTGGCCTTCCACTCAGACAGTTTGTTGAACCAGTGTTGGTCGTTCTCCTCGGCCTTTTCTTTAAGCGCCTGATTTTCCAGGGTGTACAGCAAAAGCAGCCTTTTGAGCTCCAGAAGATTAGACTCCTTAAGTATGTTGGAGACCTTGGCTTTGCCTTCTTCTGTCGTGATGCCCTTGGCGACATCGCTCGCGAGCTTCTGGGCTCCTTGCAGACTAGTCGTGGGCCAAAGGTTCGTGTCCGACTTGGCAAGAGGCAGTGAGCTCGGGCCCGCACGCACGTACTGCATGTGCAAACTGTGCACCTTCTTCTCGAGCTCCTTCTTTTCGCATAGCGAGGCCTGCAGCTTCTCTTCGCAGGCGACGCGCTCCCCTTCCATGCGGTGAATTGTGGCCTGCAGCTGGCGCACTTGCATGCGGTGCTTCGTGCGCTCTACTTCCATTTCACTGAGCCGCGCCTGCAGCTCCTTTTCGTGAAACTCGATTACCTCATAGCAGCTACTGGCGCCGCCTCGCAACTTGGTGTCCGAATTCATGACCTTCTCCATCTCGTGCAGCCGCTCTTTGAGATGCACGCTCCGCTGGTCGATTCTGTCCAGCAGCACCAACAGCTCGTCCTTCGGCGCGAGCGTGGACTCACGTGAACCGTGGTCCCGACAGTCGGAATCGAGCCCGCTGTCCTGCTTGTCACTCTCCAAGATGGCGGACGCGGTGTCTCCCTTGGACGAAAGACTAGCAACAGTAGCAGGTTTCGCAACGACGCCCTGACTGAGTTCGCCGCTGACAATTCTGGCTTTTGCGCGGCCGCACACTGCGGTCACCAATGGCCCGTCTTTGTGCCGTCGTGGTTTGGGATTCAATGTCCACGACTTGGACTCGGGGACGCCCAAGGGCGCACGAGAGTCTATGCGATGCACCGAAGCAGCTTTGGCGGGCTCCTTGCTGGCTGTCAACACAACTTGGGAAGGCCGTTCTGAGCTGCTCTGCATAGTCTGCTGGATGTCTTGAACAGCGAAGAAGATGTCATTCCGGAAACCTTCTAGCGCTTGAACCCTATCTTGAAGCTCCTGTGATGCAATGAAAAAAAAAGAGAGGGGTGAAAAAATTAGTTAAACAAATGGCACGAAATACAGAAAGCATACGTTAGGATACAACTGTTGCACTGTTATACACCAAAATTCAATAAAAATGCAGCAATATTCACGAACAAATCACTGCGACTATTGGAAACAATACCTAAAATACTGATTCTTGCAATGCTATTAGGATGCCAATTTCAAGAATTTAGTGGCTTGCCAACCGAAGCCACCACTTTAACAGGACACTCCACTTATTCAGCGACACCAAGAAAAATCCTTACTACAAATGCAATGCTTGTTCCCTTTCTGCTCTTGGCATTTATTCAGGAAATGCAAAAGTTTGAAATGAAAGCTGTACCCCATTAGAACAGGTGTGCATTTCTTACAATGCCGACAACACAAGTAGACACACGAGTGTCTGCAATAAGAAAATTAAGTAAGCGAAACTCCCTTCACTGCGGACAAGAGATGTGCTCGTGTTAAAAGACTGGTCGTGCACGGACATAAGGTACAAGTCGAGACAACACGCGCATTGATCGAGGTGTTTCAACTTGGACTTTTCTTTTGTGTCCACATTTGCACGCTCATTCTTTTCACATGAATACGTAAGCTCAGCTATCCATTATTCTAACCTTTACTTTCAGTGCTTTGAGCCCTTTTCCGTGTTCCCGAAAGGCAATACCTTTTGCAAGTCTAGCCATTCACGAATTGTATGCACATGTTCTAAAGTGGGTATTTCTGTTTGTGTGCATAGCTTCTTTTTGTATTGATTGTGTGTAAAGAAAATGCCTCAATTTAGGGCTCACATAGGATCTGCAATATCTTTGAAAATAAAAAGTAAGAAAAATAATATATCCGGAACACGATGGCCACACGCAACTAAAATCACTGTCTTCAGGAGACAGCGAATGACTCCTAACAAGTCTTTCCACGTCTTACCGCCCAAGTGGATGTAGAGGAAGCACACTGACGAAGCCGCGAGAGGGAGGAGATTTTTCAAATTTTCGTGCAAATACTTATACGCGTACATATATAATCACACGCACGAATAAGACACTTCTTGGGTAACGGTCTTACATAGTGCACATACCGCAAAAGTTCGAAAAAACACGCCACATTGTACACTGCACCAGGGCATAAAACATTTCTCACCCCGCTCTTAAACTGCGGTAGTGTTACACTGTAACAACTTCGCACGGTGCTTGCAATGCTTGCATTTAATTTATCAAGTCAAGGTATAATAAGAATTGTTGCGGTCTACTGCCACGACACCACCAACCAATACCTGGTGATCACTGATGAGACACAATACAATAACTACAATTACATAAGCACTGCAGAAAATTGACAAGCATGGGTGATAAATGTCATGAACGTAACAGATTCGTTAGCCTTATCTTAAACTCGACAATAGCCAAACAAGTGTTGTAATATGCCGGGTGTTTTAAATAACACTTTTAGATTACAATATTTGTATAGGTTTTTGAGGATAGATTTTTTTTCTCAAAGCTAAATTATAAAGTGCTTCTGGCTTGAATAAATCTTAATCCATTAACTGGAATTCAGGGACGATTTTATTTGTTTTTTTTGCGCATATTGCAGCTGACAAATACTAGCCGTTGAGTTCGCAAGGTTCGCACACCTGAAACACATTTTCAGAGTGACACCAGTTTTGAAAAATTTGTCTGAAAACTGGTGTCATCTCACCTTATCTCATCAAAATTCTCATCAGAGCATACGACAGATCAGATAGATGATCCAGTTGCCTTAGGGCATCAGTGCATAAAAGCGCAAGAGAAACAACAATGCATTTTTATCGCTGGTGAGTAGATGCATAAGTTTAAATCTGTGTCACCCTCACAGTTTATTCCAAAAAGAAATTTCTTGCTAAATCACTGGCAGCGATTCGTCAATGGCAATACACGCTACGAATAAGTAGACAAGTTTGTCGGTGCATCCCTGGCAATTAAATGGTAAATAATGTGCTTTTCAGTTATGGTCGTTCGCTTCACACAATTCCAAACTTTTGTATAAAGTTATTGTCTCGAAAACACTATGTTCCAAAATTTCGGAAATCATAAATAGAAGAACCCTACCTTTAGAGGTAGGTCTTAAAATTATTCTACAGAAAACAAAAGTGATGTACAACAACCTCTGAAGAGAACAGCGCTTCGAGATAGGTAATAGTGCACTTGAAGTTGTAAAAGACTGTCTAAATAATATTGATTGATTGATTTGTGGGGTTTAACGTCCCAAAACCACTATTTGATTATGAGAGACGCCGCGAAATTTTCACCACCTGGGGTTCTTTAACGTGAACCCAAATCTGAGTACACGGGCCTACAACATTTCCGCCTCCATCAGAAATGCAGCCGCCACAGCCGGGATTTGAACCCGCGACCTGCGGGTAGTCTAAATAATAGGTAATAACCGCAGAGCCGAGCCACGAGATTTAAGTAAATAAGAATGGGGTGGAGCACATTTGGCAAGCTCTCTCAAATCATGACAGATATATTGCACTATCCCTCAAAAGCAAGGTACATAACAGCTGCACCTTGCCGGTACTTAGCTACGGAGCAGAAACCTGGAGACTTACAAAAAAGGTTTAGCCTAAATTGAGGACGACGCAGCAAGCAATGAAAAAAGTAAAGGACAATGGTAGGTATAACATTAAGAGACAAGAAGAGAGCAGAGTGGATGTGGGAACAAACGGAGGTTAAGGATATCATAGGTGAAATTAAGAAGAGGAAATGGACATTGGCTGGGCATGTAGCCTGTACACAGGATAACTGCTGGTCATTGAGGGTAACTAACTGGATTCCCAGAGAAGGCAAGCGGGTTAGGGGGAGACAGAGGGCTAGGTGAGCAGATGAGATTAAGAAGTTTGCGGGTGTAGAATGGCAGCAACAAGCACAGGATCGGGTGTGACTGGCGGAACATGGGAGATGCCTTTGTCCTGCAGTGAACGTAGTCAGGATTATGATGATGATGATGACGATGATGATGATGAATGACCCGGCATATCACAAAGTTCCCCCATCTCACGGAGTTGTCCTGCACCGACCCGCAACCGAAGTAGAAACGTCAAGCTTGGTCCACCGCAATGGTGTAGACGTTATGGTGTCCGGCTGCTCATCCGAAAGTCTTGGGTTCGATCTCGGTCGCATTTCAATGAAGGCGAAACGCTAGAGGCCCGGGTAATGTCCGATGTTAGTGCAAGTTGAAGAACACCAGATGGTCGAAACTTGCGGAGCCCTCCACTACGGCATCTCTCATAATCATATTGTGGTTTTGGGACGTAAAACGCCAAAGATTATTATAAATGTTACACCTGTTTCGAGAGTCTTCTCCAGCTAGATTGACAGTTATCAAGTAAGTGCGCGAACATAACTTCGGACTCCAGTAGATATCTAGCCTCGTTAGAGGAACTTCAAGAGCGTAATCGAGACATGTAAAACAGGGTATTACAAATACATCCTATAAGCGTTCACCTGCATTGATGGGCGCACCATTTTTATAAACAAATCGTCGCGTCCCCCTATGTTACACGAAAATGATCCACACTACCCTGAACTGCATGCACAAATGGTTGACAGAGCTCATACCATGATTTTGTTCGGAATCGTTTATCTACATACATGTGTGCGAACGGAATATCTCTTCTCTCGATAACAACTGCGGCATTATAGATTAGGTTTGTTACATTCGAAATAAAGAAAAAAATTCTAGTCACCATAAGAAACAGACGTTTTGTGTAGTTTCTTCTATGCTTAAAAACTTGACTCGAAAAAAAAAAAAACAGTGATAAAATTCGAACTCGAATAACTATATATATTGCAATGCAAGCCACCCATGACAATTCTTATGAATATACATCAAGTGGACAAGATTCCCTTGTTTTAGAGCCTTCTTAAACATATATATCATTTATATGCGAGCAGGTACTTCACAAAATATCATATTTCCTCGTAAAAATTTACGTATGCTGTACACACGCAAGCTGTACAAGTACTTGTATATATAGTACAAATTATGCGCTTCAAATGCTCTTTCCTGGTGTAGTTTTCAAAATTGCCATACCTAAATTTAGTGCTAAATTCACGATGTAAACACTTCACGATTCGATTTCGTTTTAAACTAATCCATTTTCGGGATTCATTTTTTTAATCGAGGCCATAACTTAATTTTCTGCATAATTGATTCAAGAGTTTCTCGCGCTAAAATTCAGCGAATTTCAGGGTGAACAGGTTACATGGGTTTGGGAGCAGTCCTTGGAGAAGCGAAAGGGATTTTTTGTACCAGGCTTGGAGCAGCCAAAAACACGTTTTAAAGCAGGCTTGGGGCAACCAAAAAGACGTTTTGGAGCAAGCTTGGAGCAGCCAAAAGGGCCTTATCGAGCAATTTTAAAGCAGCAAGAACATTCAGAGCTGAATTAGCCCCTTTCAAAGAACTTGTGAAGCAAATTTTGTTTAATGCTGCATTTTTTCAAAACTATGCTAAATTGTGCAATAGACTCATTATTGCGACATAAATTACAGTGACACTGCCGACGGGTTTTTGCGGTTGCCGTCATGTTCCGTATAAATTCCAAATTGATAACATACCCCCTCGCATGGCATGTTCTATCCGAGCATAAAAGCGCGCTGGGGGGGGGCAACGAACGCGGTTGAAGCAGACACTAAACGATCTGGCTCATCTCCACAACTCGAAGGGCGCGTGCAAGAACATCCGACCCCCCGCCGGGAGCACTGTAGTCGAAGCAGGGAAGAAGCACTGCTCCCATCTTGGAAGAGCATGAAAAAAAAACGAGCGGGGGGGGGGACAGGTGTCGCTCAAGCAATAACTACGAACTTTGCTTCTAAGGGCGTGGCCGCGATCGCTGGCGCGCACGCTAGCTGGGCAGCCATCAGCGAGCGACTCTCGTATACTTCTACGTGCTGCACTCCCATCACGAAGAGAATGTGCGAAAAGTTGGTTCTCTTTTAAGT